GAGCACACTAATAATTAACTTCCCCTTTCTCTTCCTCTTTTTCAAACCTTTTCATCCTCTGGGATTGTTCCAAACTTCACTTTCAAAAATAGTACGCTACTTTTCCGTTCTACCGCAAACAAGCATCATCCCTAACTGCTGGAATGGAAGCTTAATGTCACTCGTAAAAACACTTGACTGACCTTTCATCCGTAGTTACCCGAACTATGTTTGCTCTGATTTCTCATACCAGATGAGGATACGTAGGCACAAGACAGCAATGTATTGGCGAGCAACCTCCCCCCATCACCCGTAGTTTTCCGAACTTGACTCTGACTTTCTCATTGAAAGAGGTAATACGTAGGCATAGGGCGACGATGTCCTATCGAGTTTGTTCTTTTCGTTCACCCTCGTTTAGCAGTAGCTTTTAGATAACTTTCACCCATAGATTAGACAACAAGCGTGGATCCCGTTGAGTACAACGGACGTGAGGGGTGCTCATACCTTCCCCTTGCGTAACCGACTCCAGAATCCATGATTTGGTTGTGATGACCTTGTCTTTTCCCGTTCTCTTAGATTTTCTTCGATCATTTCCTTTCCCTCTCTTTGGAATAAATAACGTTCGGTGACAACTCTTCTTGTGCATTGTATACTATAGCAAAACCACTACTATATGGTTGTAACAAGTAAATCGACAAAGAGGATAAGAGGCATAGTCATCAAATAATGAAAGGATATAAATGTTTGCACTAATTAAAGTTTGCCACTATTTAAAAGGCATGGAATGGAACTTAAAACAAATATATAAAAGGCTTGATAGACTTTTATTCTTTTCGATAGACATTATGTCCTGATAAAAATTCATGTGGTCCTATTAGCCCATTGTATAACAAATCACATATAAGCATATAATATATTGTTCTTTGAAGGTATCTTAACACCTTCTTTGTAGCTTTTTAGTGGTCCATGAAGATAAGAAAAATACGAGAAAAAGGGTTTAATTATGTTAAATTTAAAGCTTTCTCGATATTCTCAAGCACAAAGATTATTGCAATAGAATATAGTAAATAGAATAAGGATAGATGACCTCACACACAAAATTTATACTGGTTCACCTCTTTAATAAGAGGCTAATTTAATTCTCTCATACTTGAGATATTTGTAATATAATAATATTTTGTTACAAACAACCTAGTCTTAGATTAACTTGTCTCGCATTGGAGTATTTCCTTGCCTTAACTCTTGTAACGATTTTCTTTCTTTAAACCCCTAAGAACTTGTTTGCCTGACACTAGAGGGCTTTGAAAAAATTACAAAGAAATTTGTTTACAACTACTTTCACATAGTGGTAAACTTAATACTACTTAATTATAAGTGGTTAATTTTTCTTAGAAAGAATAATGAATAATGCATATGTTCCTAAGTGTTAGTTCTTTGTTAATATGGCAGTGTTTTGCAAATTTACAAATTCAAAATGACACAACAAAAGTACAACTAATAAATATTATATGTGTGTATTTCAATGTTTATGTTTGTCTTTTATATAGGACTAGAGATTCTGAATTGTGTGTATTGTTCTTTCTAATCATTTAACCGTCTAAAAAAGAGTTGTTAGAGTTGTATTATCTGTATGAAATATTTATTCATTCATTCCTTGTACTAATCTTTATCCTTTTATTACTTGTACTGACACAAATTCATAATGTCCCTTGAGAACATTCTTTTTTAATGCATATATGGTTGATAGCATTGAGTATAGATGATCAAGAATGTCGGGGTACAAATGTTCTTTCTTGTCTTTAGGTGTAAATGGTCACATTATCCTTGAATAGATGGTCAACTATGTTGACTTGAGCACGTATGATCATTCCCTTTCTTCAGGGGCAAAATGATCATTCCTTTTGTCTTAGTGCAAATGACCATTTTAGTCAATCTTTGTTGATTATGACACATATGATCATTCTTTGTCTTTTAGTATAGATGATCATTTAATTTTTCTGAATGGTAGATGACCATTTCTCATCTTGGTATACATGATCATTTTTTGTCTCGGTATAAATGATCATTTTTTGTTGCAGACAATCATGTCTTTATTTCTTGTACATAATTAGAAATATGCTATACATAAAAATCATTATTTTAAAAATCGGACTGAACCGATCGGTTGGACCGGGAAACAAAGATGAATCTGGTTGGGTCAACCTTTTAAAACTACTAATGGGTCAAAATCATAGTTAAAGCGAAAAAACTGGATTGAACCGTCCAAAATCATTCGAACCAAAGAATCAGAGCCAATATAGTAAAACTGTCCGGTTAAAGAAAAGCATCAAATTGACCATTTTTTATATATAAAAAATTAATAATTAAAACATGTCAATATCAAAACTTAAAATACATTCCTCAATCACAAAAAAGAATTTTGATTTTTCTTTCAACCCACTCCTTCATCAACACACCATCTCTTTCAAACATAATCACGTTGTCCAACTCAATATTGATTGTAATTCAAGTCAATATTGTTTATTGTTGTCAATTATGACTTGTTTGTCGTGGTTCAACTTGAATTCACTTTTTGTTGTTTAAGTAAGTATATTGTATTATTTATTTTTTATATTCTATCTTATTTAATTTAGGTAGCTTTAATTATTTGAATTTTATTTTAGTTATTATGTTATATTATTTTAATTTTAATTTGAATTGGTTTAACTTATCTTATTATAATTATTTAATTTGTTCAAATTATTCTTAAATGAAGGTTGAAATAAAGTATATAACTATGTTATGTTATTATATATACTATCATTATTGTGCTATTAAGTTTGTAATTATATATACTATCATTATTGTGAACATATTCTTAAATGAAGGTTGAAATAAAGTATATAACTATGTTATGCTATTATACATACTATCATTATTGTGCTATTAAGTTTGTAATTATATATACTATCATTATATTATTATATATACTATCATTATTGTGAACATATGATTATGTGAAACATATATGTGAAATTTAATTCTATATTATTAGTTTATTTAATAAACGTTTTCTTGTAAATTTAATCGATTTAACCAATTAAACATTAAATCGAAAGTTTTACCAGTTCGATCTTCAGTCTGATTTTTAAAACATTGATAAAAACACATCAAAGTATCAACGATTTTTAATTATGTTATTATCATCAAAACTTTTCAAATAAAATTTAAAACTATTTTTAACTCCACAATCTCTGCATATTTAATGATGATAAACACATAATTATTTAAACAATTTACAAATAAGTAACTTAGACTATTAAGTTTGTAAGCTCTCTCAAAATCAAAACCAAGTTAAAATAAAATAAATTTATTAATTTGTAATCAATGATTTAAAAATCGGACCAAATCAGTCAGTTCAACCGTTGGACCGAGAATCGGAGATGAATTCGATAGGGTCAATCTTTCAAAACCGCTAGTGGGTTAAAACTAGAGTAAAATCGAAAAAACCGGATTGAACCGTCCAAAATCATTCGAACCAAAGAGCCGAATTTGGTTTTTTAAAACTGTCCGGTTCAAAAAAAGTGCATCAAATTGACCATTTAAATTTTTTTTATTTTTTTATTTTAATATATTAATATCAAAACTTACCATACATTTCTCAATCAAAAAAAAGAATTATGTGTGTTTTCTACAACCATACAATCTTTTTGTTAATCCATTATAGTTTTTCTTTCAACAACACTCCATCAGCATCATATCGTCTCTTTCAAATATAGTCACGTTGTCCAACTCAATATTGACTGTCGTTCAAGTCAGTAATATTTGTTGTTGTCAATTAAGACTTGTTTGTCGTAGTTCAATTCAAATTTGATTTTTTGTTGTTTAATTAAGTATATTGTGTTATTTATATTTTTGTATTCTATCTTATCTAATTTAAGTATTCTTAATTATTTGAACTTTATTTTAGTTATTATATTCTATTATTTTAATTTTGTTTTGAATTAGTTTAATTTATTTTATTGTAATTTTTTAGTTTGTTCAAAATATTCTTAAATGATGGTTGAAATAAAATGTGAAAATATGTTATGTTATGTATTATGGATATTGTTGTATTAAATGTGTAATGAATTTTTGAAATATTAATTTTATTAAGTTGTGAAGATGTAATTATATGTAACAAATCTATGAAATTTAGTTTATTTAATAAACGGTTCAACATTAGATTTAACCGGTTTAACCAATTGAATCTTAAACGGTAAATTTTACCAGTTTGATCTCCAGTTCGATTTTAAAAATATTGTCTGCAATACATATTAAAACTCTATTCTTGTATTCATAATAATTTAAAAAAAAAAACCGATTTTAGAAATTTATTTAACTATAAAAATATATTATTTGCATTTTTTTATTAAATTTATATATTTGCAAATATAATTATGATAAAATAGAAAATTAAGATGGATAACTATAATGTACTACTTTCCATAATAATAAAGAAAAGAAAATAGAAATACAATATATTTATTAATGATTACTTTACTATATTCATTAAAAAATGTCAGAACTGATCAAAATCGAATTAATAGATTTAATAGATAAGAGCATAATTATCGCGTGCTGTAAAATGTTACTACACAAAAATCAAGAATATTTTGTCAGGGTTGTTGAATAATTCAACAAAAGTATGGTGGTTTGGTTTGTGACTGTAGTTTATTGCACAAACGTTTTTAATTGCCAGCTAACTTTCCAACAACCATTTTATATTATTTGTAACAATTGTTTTTTTATTAGTTTTAATGTAAAAAGTAACGGTAATATTTGAATCAAACATATGCCAAATTTTAAATGACTACTTTTTCATGATCAATATATGTGCTATATGCCATAATTTTTGGATCAAATATCTGCCAAATTCAACGGCTATTTTTTTACTTTTTAAAAATGTAACAGTAATTTTTATAATCTTATAAATAGTTACTAATTTTATTATAATTTACATTTACAACTAGTCTATTCTTCTTCTACATATTTATTTGTCAATGGATCCCAATCAACATAGTTCTTGGTCTAATTTTATGCCAAATGGTGGTTGTGTTCCTTCTATTCCAAATCAACAAAACAACCCATACTTTGGAAATGCACCTTTTATCTCAAATTCACACCATAACCCAAATTTTCAAAACTCTCCGTTTATCCCAAATCCACAAAATATTCCACACTTTGGAAATTACTCATATTATACACCACCTTATCCATATCAACATCAACCATTTATATCTCAATCAACTAACTCCACTATGCCTCATGGAACTCAAATAGGTAGTAGTGGTGCGCAATCAAATGATGAAGAACGTGAAACACCACAATTTTGCACTCAAGATAGCTTGGAGACTATTAACTTAGGTGAAGAAGTTGCATCTGGAGTTCCAATCCCGATTTGCGATCATACGTAACCCATCACGTTCTTGGCACTTAGACACACTCCAACACATAATGGATACATGCATCATATTACACAACATGATTGTTGAAGATGAACGTGCAACATATGGTGGAAATTTTGATTTTTCTTATGATCATTTGAGTAAAGATGCGACAATATTGTCGAATGATTCTAGTATTGATTTTGAAAAGTTCCTACGTAAAAAATTTGATATTCGTGATAAACAAATTCATCGACAACTTCAACCAGACTTGATAGAACATATATGACAACGTTAGGGACACGAGGATAACAACAATTGAATTTTTTTTAAATATATCTTTTTATGTATTTTGTGCTAATAATTTATTTTAATGTATTTTTTAATGAATTATTTGTGTGATGTATTGTATTTTTTAATATATATTTATTTTGTTTTGTTTTACTTTATTTTAAATGAATAATTTTTTAATGTATTTTGATATATTTGAATTAAATTGTTTCAATTATTATTTTTTATATAATATAAATGTTGGATATATTGTGAGATTTGGTGAGACCCATTTAGAGTTTTTGATGAGCTATATTGATATTTGAAAAATGTAGTTGAGTTGTTTAAAAAATATAGAAATGTAATATAATATAAAAAATTATGTGTGTACCATATAAAGAACCAAAATGTGGTTGATGAGTGTGGATTCTCTAAGATAATAGCGGAGAAAATAAAAAATAAAAACAAACATTTAAAATTAATTATTATTAAATTAGCAAAGCAAACTAACTCATCATCATTATCATATATTTTATAATGAAAAAAAAACCAGAAGTTGGCATAAAGACATAGCTATGAAGATTTGCAGGTTGAGATCTCTGCTTTCTCTTGCCAAATGCAATTCTCAAACCTTCCCACCAACAACAACACGCACTTTCTCTTCAACCAGTCATCACTTGCAGGTCAGGTCACTAGTAACCTCTGGTGTGATGATCACCAATCACGATGACCCCTATACAAAACTTGTCTTTCTTAACATGCCCTTTTTCTAAACCCTTCTTCTCATCTCTTATAACATGCAAAGCTTGAACCTTTCATGCTAATTCTCATCTGGGTACTTGAGTATTTCTTCAATTGATAATTGTAATCACTTTTCTTATGTTTTTTTCATTCTTACCTTTTGGGGGTTTGTGTTTATCTCAAAATGAGTATTTAAAATGATTGGTTTTGCCTTTATATGTTGTTCAATTAGGTTTAACTACAATTTTTCATGTTGATATAGATGTGAATTTGATGCTTGTTATTTTGTAAATTTACTATACATTGTCATAGGCTCATAGCTGATGATACTGTCCATGATTTCACTTCAGAATGTTGGATTCATTGGCCTTGGAAACATGGGATCACGAATGGCGAATAATCTAATCAAAGCTGGATTCAAACTTACAGTTCATGACAAGTAATAATTTAAACCCTTTTCTTCAACTTAATAGCCATGCATGCCTTACGAGGAGTAGTAGAATATTCTCGTTTCATTTGTAGATGCAATGCATATGATATAAATATTTGGTTAGGGTAATGAGTGTGAATATGTGCTTCTTATGAGGAGTTTGAGTTGTTTGCACTTGCACCAATGAAATGATTAGGCTGTTTCATCTTCGTTAATTTCAAAGGAACGTATATGGTGTTAATGTAGCACCGATGCTTATCACGCTTTCTGACACTAACACGTCCTTTAATTGCGTTTGTTTATAAAATATTGGCAGAAACTCTGATGTTCTTGAGATGTTCTCTCAGATGGGGGTTCCTACAAAGAAAACACCATATGAAGTTTCAGAAGCAAGTGATGTTGTAATTACAATGTTACCTTCTTCGGCCCATGTGAGTATATTCATTGAGTGTCGCTTGTTTCCTTTCTGTTGAATACATCACATCATTTGTTTGTAGACTCAGTTTCCAATATAGTCCTGCAACAACTTTTTGAGCTATGATTTCAATTTTCAGTTAACTATAGCTATGATATGATTGTTGATTTCCCCTTACAGATCCTTGATTAAGAAACAAAAATCTTAGATTGCAAGTTTCGGATGCGAGAATAACATACTTTTTTAACTTAAAGTAGGTGATTGATGTTTATACTGGACCAAATGGTTTGCTTCATGATGGGAAACTCATAAGGCCATGGCTATTGATAGATTCGTCCACGATCGATCCACAAACTTCAAGAAATCTTTCTGATACACTATCTAACTATATTCTAAAAGACAAGAAAGGTAACATAAAATGAAATGCCGTCCAAGTGAATTACATTTAACTTGAATTGCAATTGTGAATTTGTTATTCTTTCTCGCACCATAGAACTTATTTATATCATACACATTAGCAAGTAATTGGTCGTTCATGAAAATTCCATCACAATTTTATCAGAATATCTTTTCACTTGTTGTGTATACTATGCTGAATTATTTACTCCTTTTAATGATGCGGTACTGAATGGTTATGCTTTGTGTAGGTGATTGGGAAATGCCTGTCAAGTTGGATGCGCCTGTATCTGGAAGTATAATTGCAGCAGAAGCTGGAACACTTACTTTCATGGTAATGTTTCCCTTCTGTTTTAAGGCATGCAAAACAACAATACACCCTTAGTAATCATTCTAGGTTTAGAAAGTTGCAGCAAAGTTTTCGTGTTTATAGCAAAAAATTAGTAATGAACAAGATATGGATTTTTCCAGGTTGGTGGCTCTGAGGAAGCACTTCTCGCTGCAAAATCCTTATTCCTTTCAATGGGTAAAAGTACAATATATTGTGGAGGAGCAGGGAGTGGTTCTGTAAGTAACATGCTTAAAATTGTGATAGGGTTATTAGTACTCTTGGTTGCTATCGTAAGTCATTTTATTTATATTTTGTCTCTGGTTTTTGTTATTAGGCCGCAAAAATCTGTAACAATTTGGCTTTGGCTGTGAGCATGCTGGGAATATCAGAAGCCCTTGCTCTAGGCCAATCTCTAGGTGTTCCTGCTAGCTCCTTGACAGAGATATTTAACTGCTCCAGTGCTCGCTGTTGGAGTAGGTACGCAGTTCTTCTCTCTCTCAATTCATAATATTTTACATACCTTGCTTATCATACAATCATATGGAACATTTTAGATTTAATGTTTTAGTACTTTGATGGTAATTGTTGCATTCTTACAGTGATACTTACAACCCGGTTCCCGGAGTGATGGAAGGGGTGCCCTCTTCAAGGGATTATAATGGAGGATTTGCATCTAAGCTTATGGTAAATAACTGAGATTTAACTCAACTTTCAATTGTTCTTGTTTATTTGGTTGATATGAATGGAAGTCTCTTATATAAATGATGTACATGTACTCTTTTGCTGTTTATTTCTTTTTTTGAATGTATGCTTCAGGCCAAAGACTTGAACCTAGCCGTAGAGTCGGCTAAGCTTGCTGGATGTAAATATCCATTAACATCTCAAGCTCAAGAGATGTAAGTCCCCTTTCTTGCATAACCTTAAAGTATGCCATGACAAGTATCTTGCTGTTAATACATGTGAGAACTGTGTTGCTTCTTAACCTTAATACTGAAAATTTTCAAGAAATGAATGTATTTGGTGAAAAGCATTAAGATGCAAACACACTTTTCACTAGAAAAAAAAATTGACTCTTTAAAGTTTTCTATGGCAACCTTATCATGAATACATCCAAGAGCTTGAGTATTATAACAAATTTGCTTACCAATGAGCTTTGTTTTGCACAGATATACAGAGCTCTGCAATGGAGGCCATGATGCAAAAGACTTTTCATGTGCATTTCGTCATTATTACTCAGGAATGGATGAACCTCTTGACAAATAAATTATACATATATCATGTAGGAGTATCTGCTATAGTTGTTTTCTTGTATGTCAAAACAATCAATTTCATGCAATGAAATTGAAGAAAAAAAAGTGTTCTTATTTTTGTTTTGCAATTACAAGTAACTTGTGAATAGCCTAAATCAATACTATTCTGAATGCAAGTTTGGAAACACAAATATTACCATAACAAGTTTTTGTCAAAAATGAATTGCTGATCCCAAAGACAGTTTGACTATAACTTTCATACATTAATTTTATTTCCACCGTTTGAAAATAATTATCATAATTGGTCATTTCACAATTAAAAAAAGTGATAACGTATATCTGAAAATTAAATAAACAAAGCTAAAATTAATGACCGTTAAGATTTATGACAAATGCAAAAGTGTATAAAAATATGATTAAATGGTTCATTCATAAGACACCTAATCAAGTCTTATAAAGTATTAAGTTAAACAATTGCAATACATAACCACATTTTTTAGTAACAATAATATTTCCACGTTATTCTATCTAACTTATCAGTATAAAGTTTAATTGTAATACCTCTATAATCATATATGAAACGCTAATACGAGCACTATAACATATTAATAATTTATTCATGTGCACTCTTAATTTCTCTAATTCATATTAGTAATTATTACTAAAAAATCACGATATGAATAATCAAGACTTTTGATATCAACTATTAAAAAAAATTATATTTAATCTTTACATTGAGATTTTTCGGAGTACTTTAATTTCTATAAGAAAAAATATATTCGGATTTATGATGTAATTTTTTTATTTTATTTAGAATATGTCCATGATACAGCAGTTTATCCTTTGATGCTGACATTTTTTTGTAATTCTTATAAGATTGTTAGAAAGTTAATTTAAATCGTTGGACCGAAACTAGAATCGTAAATGAAATCATTTTCTTTATAAGTATTTCAAGCACTCTCAAATGTTTTAGAGTTGGAACGCAGAAATAGTCAAAATAATTCAGTGTATACTCGAGTTTGCATAGCACTGATGAAAACTCGAATGTCGAGAAGAGTATGTGAAATTTTAGTAAAAAAGATGGATGTCTTTGTTATGTTTTTCTGAATCTAGAATGAAGTATTTCTATGTCATATTAGTGTTGTTTCACAAGGTTGCGACCCTTGGTGAAACAACTTCCTTTAACCAAAAGTTACAAGTTTTTTTCCAAAAGTTACATTATTTCGCCTACAACAACATTCTTCAAGAGTTGCATACTTTCATTCTGCAACATTTCACGAAGTGTTGCCTATTTTAAAATTTGTAAGATTATTGGATTGAACTCTAGTTCTATCGACTGGGATGTTGTCGACAGGGATAGCTTTCAGGTTTCGACTAGGGACAAGTATGAAGTCGAAGATGGTTTACATGTTGATGTCTATGTGTTACATATTGTAGTCGAAGTCAGTTCTAATATGTATTGTCAAAATGTTATGTCAGATTTGTCTTATGATTAAGGATTCAATTATTTAGTTAGCTTGTAATGTAAGTTAGCTAGTTAGTATGTAAACAAGCTAGATCTCTCAGGTTGTTAAGAGAGGCCAATTGTGTTATTCATTTGTAATCGTTTGTAAACTCTACATGAGAAAGTGAATAGAAAACAGTTGCCCAAAAAAATCATTTCTCCTTCTTTCTTCTTTTTTTCTTTTTCCTCTCTCTCTCTCTCTCTCTCTCTCTCTCTCTCTCTCTCTCTCTCTCTCTCTCTCTCTCTCTCTCTCTCTCTCTCTCTCTCTCTCTCTCTCTCTCTCTCTCTCTCTCTGTTCTGACCATTTCATTATTCACCCAAGAAACTCTGTTTCTCAATCAAGAATTTGTTAATTGGTATTGTTTGTCACAAAAACTGGTGCGATGAGTGTGGAAAAGATGTCGTCAACAAAGTTTAAAATTAAGAAGTTCACTGGAGTTAATGATTTTGGTTTATGGCGCTTGAAGATGCGAGCCCTTCTTGTTCAACAGAGTTTTCTAGAAGCGTTAAAGGGAGGAGATGTCATGGATGTTGCATTGACGGAGAAGGATAAGACAACGATGATCGAGTAAGCCCATAGTGCATTTGTTCTGAGTCTTGGTGATAAGGATCTCAGGTCGGTTTCGAAGGAGACGACGACAGCTGGTGTTTGGCTGATACTCGAAGGATTGTATATGAAAAAAAATCCTTGGTGAATCATTTGTACTTAAAGAAAGCTTTGTATTCATTCAAGATGAATGGAGATAAAGGGTTGACGGAGCAGCTGGATACGTTCAGCAAGCTGATTCTTGATCTTGAAAATATTGATGTTACCATCAGTGATGAAGATCAAACATTGTTATTGTTGTGTTCTTTACCTAAGTTGCTTGCTCACTTCAAAGAAACCCTCTTGTATGGAAGATAGTCTCTGACCCTTGAAGAAGTTCAAGCAGACTTGTATTCGAAGGATTTGAACGAAAGAAAGGAGCAGAAACCATCATCATCAGTTGGTGAAGGGTTGTCGGTGAAGGGGAAATCCTCGAAGAGAGATGGTAGGTTTGAGAAGAGGAAAGGTAAAACTCAACAGAAGTCTTATGGTGGTGATATTTCTAGTATTAAGTGTTATCACTGTAAGAAGGAGGGTCACAAAAGAAAGGTGTGTCCTGAGCGCTTGAATAATCATGTAGGTAAAAACAATGGCAATGCAACTATTATACAAGATGATTATGAATCATCTGATGTCCACGTGGTGTCGAGCAACAACTCTTGCAAAGAGTGGATTATGAATTCAAGATGTACTTGGCATATGACTCCAAACAAGAATGTGTTTGAAGAATTATGTGATCAAGATAGTGGATCAGTGATGTTGGGAAATAATAAAGCTTGCAAGATTGCAGATACTGGATCTATGAGATTTAAGTTCCATGATGAGTCAATAAGGCTATTGACTGGTGTTAGGTATGTACCTGACCTTAAGAGGAATTTGATTTCTCTTGATGAATTCGACAAGAAAGGATATGTCTTCAAAGGAGAGCAAGGTATCCTGAAAATCATGAAGGGGTCGAAGGAAGTCTTGAGAGGAGTGAAGAAACAAGGCTTGTATACCTTTGAGGCTGAGGTTGTAAGTGGTTTAGCAGATTTTGCATCCACAAAACCTGTGTTGAAGACAAATTATGGCACATGAAATTGGGCCATGTTAGCGAAAGAGACCTGATCGAATTGGGGAAACAGAACCTGCTAGGTGGTGACAAAGTCAAGAAGTTGGAGTTTTGTGAACCTTATGTATTTGGAAAATCATATAGGGTGAAGTTTAACAAAGATAAACAAAGAACACATGGATCTATTGATTACATTCATGCTGATAATTGGGGGCCTGCAAGGAATCCTTCACATTCAGGTGCAAGGTGTTTTCTATCCATAGTTGATGACTATTCCAAAAAATTATGGGTATTCATTCAGAAGACTAAGGATGAAAATTTTGAGAATTTAAAAAGTTGGAAGGTTCTGGTCAAAACTCAAACTGACAGAAAGGTTAAGAGATTAAGAACCGACAATGGCCTTGAGTTTTGCAATGAAGTTTCTGACAATTACTGTGTCGAGTCTGGGATTTCAAGGCATAAGACTGTAGCAGATACTCCTCAACAAAATGGCTTAGCCGAGAGATTCAATCGAACAATCCTTGAAAGGTTTATATACATGTTGGTTAGTGTTGGATTGAAGAAGGTGTTTTGGGCGTAGGCTGTTTCAACAACATCTTATCTGATAAATAGATGTCTCTCGACTGCCTTGGGAACAAAGACACCTGAAGAAGTTTGGTTGGGTCAACCACCATATCTTGACAAACTGATAGTATTTTCCTGTTTAGCATATGCTCACATTAGGAAAGATAATGTCAAACCTAGAGCTCTAAGATACATGTTCCTTGGACATCCTGAAAGAATCAAAGGTTATAGGTTGTGGTGCCTAGAACCAGGTCAAATAAGATGTATCATAAGTCGTGATGTATTTTTCAAAAAAGTCGAGATGGCGTTCAAGAAAACTGGTGATGCTGGTCGAAGTGCAGAAATCTCTGAAGAGGAGTTGGAACAAATAGAGTTCCTGTTGAGGTGGAATATAGTGATGCTGAAGTGCATAACCCAAATGAAGTCGAAGAAGAAGAGCAAGATGCTAAAGAGACTTAGGAAACTGTCGATGACTACCAACTGATAAGAGATAGGTCAAGAAGAGTCATCAAACCACCTCAAAGACTTGGTTATGCAGATCTTATAGTGTTTGCCTTAATCTATGCAAGTGAGGTACTTGAGGAAGAACCTAAAGACTACAAGGAAACTATGACGATTCGAAATAAGACAGAATGCAAAAACCCATGGATAACAAGATGAAATCTTTTCATGATAATAACACTTGGGAGCTGATTGAGAAACTTGCAGGAGCCAGGTTAGTCATTTGTAAGTGGATTTTCAAGGTTAAGGAAGAAATCTAAGGAGTGGTGTCAAAGCGCTTTAAGGCTAGGTTGGTTGCTAGGGGGTTCATTCAGAAAGAAAGTGTCGATTTTAATCATGTGTTCTCACCTGTTGTAAAGCATAGATCCATTCAAATGTTGTTAGCCATGGTTGTGAAGTTTGACCTGGAACTTGAACAAATGGATGTCAAGACAACCTTCCTGTATGATGATCTAGATGAAATGATCCTGATGCGACAACCTGAAGGGTATGCATAAAAGGATGAGGAAGATTATGTGTATAAGCTGAATAGGTCTTTGTATGGCCTGAAACAATCTCCTCGACAGTGGAATAAGAGATTCGACAAGTTCATGGCACACATTGGTTTCACTAGGAGCCAGTTCGATCATTGTGTTTACTTCAAATTTTAACTTGGAAACTCACTTGTTATTTTATTTCTTTATATGGATGATATCCTCATAGCTAACGACAGTGTCGAGGATGTAATGGAGGTGAATGCTGAACTTAATAAGGAGTTTGAAATGAAGGATCTTAGAGCTGCCACCAGGATTCTTTGGATTGACATCT